TAACTCGAAAAGTATTCAATGAAGAAACATTTGATTATAGTGTTTGAAAGCTCTCTAGGTCAGCTACAAGAATATGTAATAAAAAATAGGGGATGCCGTTTAAAAAAATTAAGGTGACTTTCATGTGACTTTCAAATAATTCTTCAAGGTCAAACCAATGGTACCATCTTATGGTCTCTTCGAAACCAAACAACTTTTGTCTGAAAAATTTTTCTCTTCCGGGCTTGATTTTTGAGATATTCGACTGGATGGATTAAAATGGTCCACCCTGTATATTCTGCTTGCAATTTTAGACAGCTTCATTGAGTTCGAACAATTAGACACCATATACATATATTAACAATTTTAAAATTTAATTACTTTAAAATAAATTACATGTATAAATTATATACGGAATTTATATTTTATGTGTAAACGTCGCCAATTACAGACCATCAGACATGGTCAAATCCTGCATTCGAATATTCAATATACATACAGGGTGTTTATAAAGTATCGGACCCCCCTCTATCTCAGAAAATAAAATAAAATTTCCTAAAAAGTTTTGTATTTAAAGTTTTTTTATCCAGTTAATATTTTCTTTGAGATAGAGGGGGGGGGGGGTCCGATACTTTATGAACACCCTGTATATCTTTTTCGAAATCGGTACTCGTTTTAGCCGTCAGATGTCAGATTAATCATGAAAATCTGACAGTACGGTGTGTGCGTGAAAATATTTTGTTTGGGATACGTGTACGCATTGTAACGCTTGTAACGTTTCTCGAGTTTCCCGACGATAGATTTATAAAAAAATTGCGCAGTAGATTTAATTACACGAAGATGTCAAGCATCACGATATCAGCCATAAGGCCGCGGACCGGGATTCTCGACAAATCCTTAAGCAAGGGCAAAGGGGAGGTTAGCCTGAGCTGCTTCGCCCTCTTGTTCTCCGAGCTGGTGCAGTATTGTCAGAACAGAGTCTACACGGTTCCGGAGCTGCAAAATAAGTAAGATAGAGGCAAAAATTGGTTCCCTTTGTCACTACACGAGAAATCTATTTACTAATGTGAGATTAGGAAATTTGACTCTGATGACTTGATGTTGCTTGAAACTTGACAAAAATAATTAGTGTCGCTAATTGTCACGTGAGAAAAATTTAAGTTACTATTAATTGTTGTCAAGAATTTTTATAAATATAATTTCTCTAATATTTCAAATACAAAATAGATTGAAATTGCATTTTCTTCATCATCGCCTCGCAAGCTCACTCGGCAACAGCTGGTAATTCTTACTTTCTTTCACGACTAGATTGGCGGAGATCGGAGCGGAGGTCGGGCACAGGATAACGGATCTGCTCGTGGTGCGCGAGAAGGGTGGCAAGCGCGAGATAAAACTGCTCAACGTGCTGCTGTTCATCAAGAGCACGGTGTGGAAGTCCCTGTTCGGCCGCGAGGCCGACAAGCTGGAGCACGCCAACGACGACGAGCGTACCTACTACATCATCGAGAAGGAGTCCCTGGTCAACAGATTTGTGTCGGTGCCCAAGGATAAGGGTAGCCTCAACTGCGCGTCCTTCGTCGCCGGCATCGTCGAGGCTGTGCTTTGCGACTGCGGCTTTGTAAGCGGCAGCCTCATTTGTCCATCTTACAAAAGATAACACAGATCTGCGAGGTCTTTTGCTGCTTGAGAATTGTAGGCGTTTTCTATTTAGTGACACAAGCCGACACAAATATCATTTTGTCACTAAATGCTAAGAAAAGTAGAATAATGTTTGTGTCAATTTCTCTCTGTAATATTTTCATGAAATTATCGTCATTTTTGGGCTGTGCTACCTCATTTGTCTAAAAAATCTGACGTGACAGACAATTTTTTCAGATTCAATGTACAAAATACATCAGAAACTACTTGTAATTCCCGAGCAGTTTTTAACATCCTTAAATTCACAAGCTTTAATTATTAATTTTACAAAAGATAACACAGATCTGCGAGGATTTTGCTGCTTGAGAATTGTGGGTGCTTTCCATTTAGTGACACTAGCCGACACAAATATCATTTTGTCACTAAATGCTAAGAAAAGTAGAATAATGTTTGTGTCAATTTCTCTCTGTAATATTTTTATGAAAATATTGTCATTTTTGGGCTGTGCTACCTCATTTGTCTCAAAAATCTGACGTGACAATTTTTTCAGATTCAATGCACAAAATTACATCAGAAACTACTTGTAATTCTCGAGCAGTTTTTAACATCCTTAAATTCACAAGCTTTAATTATTAATTTTACAAAAGATAACACAGATCTGCGAGGTCTTTTGCTGCTTGAGAATTGTGGGCGTTTTCTATTTAGTGACACAAGCCGACACAAATATCATTTTGTCACTAAATGCTAAGAAAAGTAGAATAATGTTTGTGTCAATTTCTCTCTGTAATATTTTTATGAAAATATTGTCATTTTTGGGCTATGCTACCTCATTTGTCTAAAAAATCTGACGTGACAGACAATTTTTTCAGATTCAATGCACAAAATTACATCAGAAACTACTTGTAATTCTCGAGCAGTTTTTAACATCCTTAAATTCACAAGCTTTAATTATTAATTTTACAAAAGATAACACAGATCTGCGAGGTTTTGCTGCTTGAGAATTGTGGGTGCTTTTCATTTAGTGACACTAGCCGACACAAATATTATTTTGTCACTAAATGCTAAGAAAAATAGAATAATGATGTTTGTGTCAATTTGTGTCACTAATTGGAAAGCACCCTATGTTTCCAAAAGTACATAACTTCTAATTGGTGCATCTTGGCGAAAAAAATCGCACGTTGGCAAACAAAAATTTGTTATTTTAGAAGAAGGATAGTATTAGACGAGATCATTGAAAAATTATTAAAATATTGAAAATAACTTGATTTCTTTAATATTTTTATAGCCAATATCGTCATTTTTGAGCTATGTTACTTTATTTATCTAGAAAATCTGACGTAACAGATAATTTTTTCAGATTCAACGCACAAAATTATATCAGAAACTTCTAATTCTCGAACAATTTTTAACATCCTTAAATTCGCAGACCTCTCAATTATCTTTACAAAATTTTATTTTACAAAAGATAACACAGATCTGCAAGGTTTTATTATTTGAGAATTATGTTTCCAAAAGTTTATAACGTCTAATTAGTGTATCTCGGTGAAAAAAAATCGCACATTGGCAAACAAAAATTGATTTTAGAAAAGAAGGATAATATTAGACGAGACCATTGAAAAATTATAAAAATATTGAAAATAACTTGCATTCTCTGTAATATTTTTTGAATATAGCCAATATCGTCATTTTTGGCTATGTTACCTCGTTTATCTAAAAAATCTGACGTGATAGACAATTTGTTCAGATTCAACACAAAATTAATCAAAAACTACTTATAATTCTCAAACAATTTTCAACATCCTTAAATTCGCAGGCTTGTGTAATCTTATCGTTCAATTTTAAGTTTGCACATTTATATATTTTTTTTATAAAATGGAATAAAATTTTTATAAATGTTTCAAATATTGCAGCCCGCCAAGGTAACGGCACACTGGCACAAAGGAACGACGTATATGGTTAAATTCGACGACGCCGTTGTCGCGCGTGACAAGCAACTGGACGACCGGTAATAGAAAGAGAATTGAAACGTTACTCTTTCTATAAATATAAAGAGAAAATAGGTATCTATACACAAAGTTTATCAATTATCGTGATAAATCCATAAAGTCTTTAATTATATATAATTAAATCCATGTTTTGTACGTGTGTATCTTTTATATTTGAGACTGGTATCTCTTTTCATCGAAATTTCATGTAACTACACGTTCGCAAAAACCCGCAGTTTTTTTTTCTTTGCCAGTCTTATTTCTTCTAACGACATACATGGTATTCAACATTTATATATGTATATATACACATATATTATATAAATATATTATAAGTAGGAAAAAATTGCATTTTCTCTGAAATAAATAAAATTTTTTATGTTCAAGATATATGGAACTTTTAAGATTTAAAGAAACTTTATGGAAACTTTTCAGATTTTAAGTGTATCGCTTGTTGTAAGTTTATTTCTGTACAATCTAGTAGTATTTAAGTTAGGTACATCGACTGCTGTGTACTTTGTTAAAATAATTATCTAACAGAATCTATGCTTTCTGCTCGCATAATCGATTTGCCCAGTACGATACAAGTGTTCTCGTTCTTCCTGCGAAAGGAAAAAAAAAACAATACACGTTACATATTTCTATTTATACGGCGATTCGTGTATATTTTAGAAACACATCTGGCTTACCCTTCTACGTTTTAGAGTCAATGCAGTTATGACCACCAAACTTGCGATGAACCCAACTTTCGTGAGGTATCCCACCACCGTGGGTACAAAGTGTTCGCCTATCGATGTTTTCGCAGCGGCAAATCTGTATATTCCTGTATCAAACTGCATTCGTGGAATGAGTATAATTGATAATTTGACTAAATTCAATTTCAATTCAACAATATATAAGACTCTTAGATTTAAACGATTAGTAATTGGGATGGGCTTTTATACTTACAAGGGAACCTCGCGAAGTGTCAAATTCTGATTTTAATGAAACTTGGTACACTTTGAGGTCACATAAATAGATGAATTTAGAAATTATCAGTTGATGCTA